TATATATATACACAATGAGAAAATAAACTGCAAGATTAACGCATGCATGTTTAATACTGGAAAAATTACAGCCCTCCAAAATTTCTCCATGTTTGTTATAAAAGCCCTCTGCACTCAACTAAAATTAAAATGATCTTAAAAGGATAATACTTGTAAAGTTTTAAGTCTTTTTAGCCACAGAAACTGCAATGGAAATAAATGTTCAGAGTCATTTTCAAAACAAAAACAAAAATCTATTCTTCTGATGACATGCATGATTAAAAGGTCTATGCAAGATACATTGCTCTACATTCCCAATGACTAGGAAAAAAAAGTCAAGTCAATTTTTAGTTTGCAGATGGTCAAAGGATTTTGTATTCCAGCAGGAGTTCAAATCTTCTGGATCTTTTCACCAACAACTACTGGATTTTCTTTTCTGATTTTCTCAGCAGCATCAGCTTTGTAATTGTAAGAGCAATTGTGTACGTCTGAGTAACGGTGTACACCACAGTAAACATTTCCACATCGGCATTCAAACCCTGAAAATGGATCAATACACGTATGTGAGTTGGTGACAGATTAAGGTCTTTGGCTAAGTAATGCTAAAGAGCATAATGTATTTAGAACCACAGTCTAAATCAACAGTCATTCTAAATAGAGTTTCAAAACTACATCCTTACAGTTTACTACCTGACAGCTTCACTTCTTGTTCTGATCTGTGAACACATTTATACTGGAACAGGTCTTCTCTTGAGCTTAGATGTCTTCAGTTAACATGACTACAATTATTTCCTACCATAAAAATGGTTGCTAAATTAAAAATGTGAATTGTTTCTCAATTTCAAATATTGTGAAAATATATCTACTGTGAAAAGGTAGTCTTAAAATAAAGAAAGATCAAATAGTATCTCTGAAAGAACTGTTAATAACATGGTATCTGTATTAGCTTTCCTCTGTTAGCCTCTGATGGAGATGTCAACTACACTTTGGCTCAGACATGAAGAGCAGGGAGTGAGGGTGCTTAAAGATACATCTACCTTTGATGTAGGCAAATTACTTAGCTTCCCTGAGCCATAGTTTCTGCATCTGCAATTGTGGAATAAGTTACTAAAACAATTTAAAAGGAATGTATTAAGTGCTTAACATGTAGTAAACACACAATAAATGCTACTTTAGGGAAATGCCCAGAGTTGAAGCTAAAATAGATATAATGGATATTGACAGTCTTTATATATTACACAGTACTGGTCCTTGGAACTGGAGGTAACAACCCTGACACAGAAAGCCAAACACTACAAGTTCTTGCTTGTAAGTGGGAGTGATAACGTGCACACAGGAAGCAGAGTGTGGAGTGACAGACCGTAGAGACTCGGGGTGGTGATGGGCAGCTGCTCGGTGGGTTCAATGTGCGCTGCTCCCCAGATGCACGCACTGAAGGCTCTGGTTTCACGACAATGCAATGATTCAATGAGGCAAAACTGCCTGTATATTCCATGAATGCACACAAATGGGAAAATAAAAAATAAAACTGGTCCTGCTCCTTGAATCAAAATTTTATATGATGAAATTGTCAGAATTGAGCATAGGAATCAATATTCTAAACATTACCATTGATGCTAACCTCCTTTACTGCATTTTTCACTTCAGAATTATATCCCATTTGCTTCATAACCATGAATAAAAAATGGAGCAACCACCACTGGATTAGGCTGACTGGACAAGATGGAAATTATTATCTCAGCCTCCTAAACATGAAGTCTGAGTTTTTATGAGATTTGGAAAGACTATCTTTGACACTAAATATGTTTATTTTAAAATGTTTAATCTGTTCATGTTTGTATTTTTTAATTTGGCAAGCTATGGGCCACTCTGAAACATCTTTGATATCAAATACTTCTTTACTGCTAACTCATTTCTTATGTATTCCCCACAAGGCCTGGCATGGTAAACAACTGGTAACTGTCACCATACCACACTGTTTTTCCAACAATCAGCCATAGTACAGCTGACCCCTGAACGGCTCAGGGACAAGGGCTGCAGACCATGTGCTGCTAAAAATCTACTGATAACTTTATGCTCCCCAAAACCATGGATCGTCTACTGATGACTAGGAACCTTGCTGATAACAGAAACAGTCAATTAACGCATATAATACATATTTTTAAGTTACATGTATTTATACCGCATTCTTGTAATAAAGTAAGTTACAGAAAAGAAAATGTTATTAAGAAAAACATAAGAGAAAACACATTTAATATCCTTAAGTGGAAGTGGGTCATCAAAAAGCTCTTCTTCCTTGTCCTCATGGTGAGTAGGCTGAGGAGGAAGAGGAAGGGCTGGTCTTCCTGCCTCAAGGTGGCAGAGGTAGAAAGGAAACATATGCTAATTTGCCTTATTTTGCTTTTTCATTTCCCTAAAAATGTTTCCATATGGTACCAACCCTTCTTCCACCGTGTGCTTTAGTCTCAGTGTCCATATCATAGAAGAGTCCATCCCATGGAAGAAGGCAAAGCAGTCTGAGTTAACACAGTCCTCCCACCAGACTGCCCCGTGTCAGTGTTTCCAACACTGCTCCTTCTCTGTCCTCTTCCTCACTGTCTGGCACTGGTTCAAGACGCTCTCATCTCCAGCAAGTTATCTTCTTTAAATTCCTCTGATGGCATCTATTAGCCCTTGAATTTCTCCAAAATCCTTATCTTGAAACCCTTACCCCCAACCTTTTTGCCATATCCACAGTCTCCTTCACAATTTTGTAGGCTGTCACATAAATCCTGCAAAGTCACACACAGCATCTGGACAGTTTTCCCCAGTAGGAACTGTACTGGTGTTGGTTTTCATGACTTTTCCCGTAAGAACAAGAGCATCTTCAGTGGTGTAACACTTCCAGATAGCCACAACATCTCCATCAGGGTCCTCTTCCATAGTGCTGACATCACTTTCCATACAGTACGGGGGGAATGGCCTACATGCCCTTATAACCCCTGCTCTAGAGACTAAATCACAGACACTGCAATCTGGGGACAAGTAGTCTATTTGTCCCCAGACATATAGGGTTCTAGGTGGCCAGGGACATTGTCCAATATCGAAAGAACTTTGAAAGGCAGTTCCTTACTGGCAAGGCATGCACTGACTTCAGGGGGACTGAATCTCAATGGAACCAATCCAAAAAAGGGGGTCTCACTGTCTAGGTCTCCTGGCACAACCAGACTGGCAGCCAGTGCTTCTCTTTTCCCTTCAGGGCACAGGACTGGCAGCTTTATGGCTAAGGAAAGTCCTAATCATGAGCCTGACCGCCTTTGCACAAAACAGTTAACCCATCCCTTACTGCTCTGACTCCTGATGCTTACTTCTCTTCCCTAGTAATAAATGTTCCCTGTGTATTTTTCCAGCATAGGGAACGTTCTCCTGCCTTAACAACCTGTTTACTGTTTAGGAACAGATCTTTTCTCCTCCATGATTTTCTTAATGACATCTGGGAACTTTGCTGCTGCCTCTTGGTCAGCAGAAACTGTTTCTCCTGTTACTTTGACATTTTTTAGAGCCAAACCTCTTTTTTAAATTACCAAACCATTCTTTACTGGCATCAATGGTCCATTTTTAGATCCTTCACCTTCTGTTTCAAGTGGTAATACAATGATTTGCTTTTTCTCAGATCATGAGCCTAGAGGTATGCCCTTTCTTACAGCAAACCAGTCCCTACATGAAAGCTGCATTTTCAGTAAGAATGCAAGGTTTTCATGCCTACTGACATAGCAGCAGCAATGGTTTCAAAACTTTTCTTTTCTTTTTTTATTTACACTGGTCCTGTATTCATTTATTTTGAAATGGTGGGAAGCTGCAGACCTCAATCAAAGGTACATATTAAGCAAGTCAACTTTTTCCTGTCATGTCATAACTTTTCTCTGCTTCTTGGAAACATTTTTAACACTTACTTAACGCTTCATTTGGGTTCCACGGTGTTATCCAAGGTTTATGGTATTCCACTAAATATGAAAAATATATAGGCACAGACAGAGAGCACATTTTACTCTGACAACAATTTACTGGAGCACCAAACTGCTTACTCAGAGATTACTACTGTCACACAGGGATTTAAGTGGAAGCCTGCAACGCTTGAGCTCACCAAGAAAGCAACACAAGTAGTTCAGCATATACCACGGCAAGTTCTATGCAGTTATGACTTACTACTACTCACCTTTACATTTCTCTCAACTGCAAATGGCCCCACATACAGATTGTAAGGGTGATAACTTTTAACTTATATACTACATTGGTGTGTACATTATAGTAGTACATCATAAACAGACTAGCATCTGCATATGTGGGTTATGTATTCAGGATGTATTTAACGTTTTAACGTATTACTAGATTTATGTATATATTATGGTAGTAGATGGTAAACAGACTGTACTAGATCTGTATGTCACAGCAGCAGATTATAAACAGACCAGCATCTATACGCATACTTTATGCATTTGTGACATATTTAACTTTTTCTTAATTTTTTTGGATATTGCCAGGCTATGTGGTTCATCTTTTGAGTTTTTAAAAACTACCACAAAATTTTGAATAAATTTCTAATATATTTATTGAAAAACTCCACATGTAAGTGGACCTGAGCAGGTCAAATCTACATTGATAAAGGGTCATCATGTCAGCCAAGCATGGAGGCTCATGTCTGTAATCCTAGCACTCTGGGAAGTGAGGCAGATCACTCTGGATCACCTGAGCTCAGGAGTTTTAGACCAGCCTGAGCAAGAGTGAGACTCTGTCTCTACTAAAATAGAAAAACTAGTTGGGTGTAGTGACCCATGCCTATAGTCTCGGCTACTTGGGAGGCTGAGGCAGGAGGTTCGCTTGAGTCTAGGAGTTTGAGGTTGGTGTGAGCTATGACGATGCCACTGCACTCTACCCAGAGCAACAGAGTAAGACTCTGTCTCTAAAAAAAAAAGTCGTCATCTGTTTACTCCCATCTCGCTGTAATATGTGACAGTCTTCTTCACACACATTCTGGGCTATACCTACCCTCCCTAATTCATGATCCCTGAACATGCCCTATTCTTTTTTCTTCTATTTCTCTGAGCTTCTGTTCAGTTACTCACTGTTAAAGACGCAGCTGAAATACTGTCTTCGTGATACTTTCCTAGCTGGGTCTCAAAGAACTCTCATTCCTTTATATAAATTACAAGGGTTACTCCATCTCTGAATTCCCAGAAAAATCTGACTGTACTTAATGTACTTTCTTTGCTAAATAAATCTGAACATTTCCCCCTTCTCCCTTGATGACACCACCATCCTGACAGCTATGTTGCAGCAGCCAGCATCTGCTATTTGTTGTGCAGCAGTCCCACCCTAACATGTCTTGACTCAGTAAACCCACAGGACACCTATGATTAGCCCCATTTTACAAACACGAAGTACTTCACAGCTCACCAAGTACTTCCAAATATTCTCTCCTTGAAAGCACTAGCCAGACTTTTGCCTTGTCACAGCAATTGTCATACTTACCTTACATGTCCAATGCTTTCAGATTCTGGAGAAATAAATTTTTTAAAGAAAAGCTATTCATTTCAGTTTTAGATATATAATTAAAGCTATCTTTATTTCTTTAAAAAAAGATCTTTGGAAGTTGAACTGTATCCAATATAACTCTCCTAGGACCTGAAACAATATATATAATATATTGATATATAATAAAGCTATCTTTATTTCTTTAAAAAAAAGATCTTCGGAAGTTGAGCTGTATCCAATATTAACTCTCCTAGGACTTAAAATAATCTTCAGTGAAATAATAGTAAGCCATGCTTTATTTTAAAATATAATCTTCATTTAAACCATTTGATATAGGCCCTTACCAGTAAGTCCCACTTTCTTCCTGCACATGAAACAGCGATTCTTTTTTTGTTTTGGTTTTTCAAGAGACTTGCTTTGCTCTTCAGATGGCTGCTGTGCCGTATCTGATACTGAAGCTGCCAAAAATAGGAAGATGGTAAAATTTAATTATTTAATAAGATTTTGCTATTTAAGTGGTTGTTTCCTCTCACCCCACCCCATGAATATGTTATTCAGAGGGTAACAGAAGAATTTATTTATTAACATGGGAAATAGTTCACATTCAATTATCAAGTTGTTTATAAAGTATGATGCCCCCTTTGTTGTTTATGTGTGTGTGTGTGTACACATGTGTATATATACGATGGCTCTATAAGGATAGATTTTCCTTTTTTGGTTTAAATATATTTCTAGTTTTTTAAAATAATTATGTAGTTGACTAATAAAAGGCACATACAAAAATACTACTTGGGTACTGTAAGGGAGTGTTCAAGGACACAGCCATATTCAGATTTCTCATAGAACAAGAAAAAAAATGTAAAACCAAGGTTCTATGGAATACTAAGTATGTTTTACATAAAAACATTTAAAGATAAATTGGTGCAAAGAAGCTTTAAAATGTTATAATTAAGATAATAAGTTGATGTTTTTACATACTGAAACCAAACCTAGAGTTGCCAGGTCAAATTATTATTCCTAATCCTAACTAATATGCCCTTCCCCAGCCCTATCTGAATACAGAGTCAGAGTCAATGATAATACCTCAGACACGGTATCTTGCTTTATGACAGTCACTTGCTATGGATCAAATTATTAACCTCTCCGATTTTATCACCAGTCACTATGTCCCCAGGAATCCAGTGCTAAACCACTCTATACCGGGAATATTCCCTTACCTCTGCTCACACTTTACCTCTTCCGACTTGTTCCAAAGGGCTTCCTTTTCTCCCTCATCTATCTACATTTTCTTTTTTAAGGCCAAGATCAAATACCTCTTCTTCATTTCAATTTTCTGCAGCTTCTCACTCTAATCACCCTTAACACCCTTATCAAATACGGGGTAACCCACATGAGCCTCCGCTTCTATCCACTCATCACACACTGCATCCAATCATCTCCCTTAAGTGAAAATCAAATGATGTTCTACCTAATGTTTAAAATTCTTTGATGCCCCCTCACCCCCTAGATAATACAGGGCAGAGGTCTCTCAGATTTTCTTCATCTTTTTGTCCCTAGCCTCACCTCTTACCATCCCTTAACGGTACCTTGGCCATACTGAAGTACCTGCAATTTCCCTAGACTTACCAACTCCCACCTCTGGCCTCTTGCATAATGCTCATTCCATGTCCCTCTTGTCCCTCTCTTTACCTTGGAATAGGAAACTCTACTATGAAATTTAAAGCACTTTTCACATTATTATATGTGTAACAAAACAATTGCCTGTATGACTTAACCTGGTTTAAATGAATTCTTCAAAAGCAGGAACCTGTCCAGGGCCTACCCCAGCATCTCCTAGCACCTATCAGACACTCAATAACTAAACATCACAATATCTGTTGAACTGAACAGCTGAATTACTTACCTACAGTGTTATGTGCTCCTTTCCCCAAACTACACTGAAAGCCTGCTGAGGACAGGGATGGCATCTTATTCCCTATTTATCTCCAGCACCTGTCACAGTGAACTACATAAGGCAGATGCTCAAACATTTGGTGTAATGGATTATAACCTATCTGTGTTAACACATTATCTCATATTTTGACAAAATACAACAAAAGGTAAGATAATACAAACAAGTGAATGTGCACTAATGAAGAACTCTACAGCATGGTTACTTCACTGCAGAAGACAGTTAATATACTGTGAACATTGTACTTTTGAAACAGAATAATAGACACATAAAGCCTTTTATTTTCATTAAATAAATATCCTTAGAATGTAAGCTCTACAAAGCCAGGAGCTGAGTGTCTTTTTTTATTTTGAGTCGTGGTGCCACAGCTCACAGCAACCTCAAACTCTTGGGCTTAAAGTGATTCTTGTGCCTCAGCCTCCCAGCTGGGACTACAGGTGCCCACCACAAGGCCTGGCTATTTTTAGAGATGGGAGTCTCGCTCTGGCTCAGGCTGGTCTTGATCCACCTGCCTCAGCTTCCCAGAGTGCTGGAATTACAGAAGTGAGCCACCACACCCAGCCTTGAGTGTCTTGTTTACTATTTTATCCTCACCTCATAGAACAGTATTAGATAAGGCTTGGTTATGTATCTATAACTCAAAACAGTTTATCTTGCAAACAAAACTATTACATGTATTATCTTTATAAGACATAGTATCTAACACTTGCTACTGTTATTGATTATGCCATCCTACTGGGTGTGAAGTAGCATCTCGTGGTTTTGATTTTTTTCCTAACAATGATGCTAAGCATCTTTACATTGTTACAGGCAACTTGTATATCTTCTTTGGAGAAATGTCTTCTCAAATCCTTTGCTTATTTTTTAATTGGGCTGTCTTTTTACTGTTTAATTATAATTATCTCTCTTATATATTCTTATCAGATATATGATTTGAAAATCTTTTCTCCCACTCTGTGGGCTGTTTTCCTGCTGTCTTTTAATAGTGCTCTTTGAAGCAAAAAATTTTATATTTTGATATAGTTCAATTTATCCATTTTTTTTCCTTTGGTTGCTAAGAAACTGCCTCAACCAAGGACATAAACATTTCTATCTGTTTTAAGAGTTTTATAGTTTTGGATCTTATAAATTTTTAGGCCTTTGATATATTTTGGGTGAATTTCTGCATGAGGTATGTGGGGGGGGGGCAATTCATTCTTTTGAATGTGGATATGAGATAGTCCTAGTCCCTTTTTTTTAAAATTTTTCAAACCATTAATATTTTATTTAACAAAACAAAAACTGAGATATTTCTGGAGTTTATAGTATATTTGATATAAAAATAAGGAATATTCCAAAATACATAATAAAAATACAAAGTTTTTGAATCTAAGTACAGAGAAAATTTCTTTTACATTTCAGTCACCCAGAACAACTGCCCACAATGGAAGAGTTTGACGCCAGGAAAGGCCAGATCCAATGGTCACAGAACCAGTGAGTATGGGCTGAGGGTGTCCTAAATGATGAATGTGAAACTGGCTTGCCACTCTGCCAGGATAACCAGTGGTTGCAAACAAGTTTTCATTAATTGTGGACCACCTGAATAGGAAGTCTCAGTCCACGTGAATAGGTCTCTTATCTTGAGGATAACTGGACTGAGTAATATCCCAAATTAACCAATCATTTTCTGCAATAGCACCAATTTTGAAGGTATTTTTTAAGCACCAGTGTACTGACATTAACAGCATCTGTTCTGATTCAAGAGACTAAATAGCCAAAATATAATAAAACCGGATTTTTCTTTTTTCTTCTCGGCAACCATTAGCTTTATTAAGTTTCCTCAAGATGCCAGCATACACTCATAACAGGGGACTGAACAATAAAATGATCTGTCTATACTCCTTCTAAGTTCCAAATCCTGCAGGTATGATCATCACTCACACTTGCATTTTCTTGGCCACCTTTGGGATCAAACACCAAACCATTAATGAAATCTGAATGGCCCTCTAAAGTCTTACATTCATTTTCATCCTGAAGATCTGAAGTAAATAACCTATTTTTCATACCAGCAGCTGAAGTACAAAATTTGATTACTGGAGGCAATGAATGAATCAAGTCTAGTCTCTGGACTCCAAGCTATGCCATCAACCCTGATTCCATGGTGAAATGTTCATAGTGTTTTATACTGAATTCCGTCAATGTCTGCTTCTTCCTCCTGAAATGTACATGTGCCAATCACCACACAATTATTGCCACCATATGCAATCAGGTTTCCTGAATCCCGCTCTCAAAGGGATTAAATTCTACTACATGCACACAACCTTCATAATCCACAGTGTAGGCAGTGTTTCTTGTGGGATCTTGCTTCATCTTATAAGTCAAAACTCAGGCAATTGTAAAAGACTATTGACTTCTACTGGAAACAAGGTCCTTAAACAGAGAGCTCTGGGAGGCGAACCGAGTTAGTTGGTCTTTGCCGGGGGCTGCTCCCAGTCACTTCTTGTTGAAAAGATCATTCTTTTTTTTTTTTTTTTTTGAGACAGAGCCTCAAGCTGTCCCCCTGGGCAGAGTGCCATGGCATTACAGCTCACAGCAACCTCCAATTCCAGGGCTCAAGCGAGTCTCCTGCCTCCGCCTCCCAAGTAGCTGGGACCAAAGGCGCCCGCCACAACGCCCGGCTATGAAAAGATCATTCTTTTTGCATTGAATGATCTTGGCATCCTTGTTGAAAATCAATTGCCCATAAACCTAGGAGTACATGTCTATACTGTCCATTTTATTTCACTGATCTATATGATTATCCTCATGTCAGTATCACATAGTCTTAGATTATTGCAGTTTGTGTTCAATTTTGAAATCAGGAATTGTTAATCCTCCAATGTTCTTGTTCTTTTTCAAGATTGTTTTGACTATTCTCATCCATTCTTTAAGATTAGAAGAAACCCCGGATTTTTTAACCTACATAGCTTTCCTAATTTAGTCCAAAGGGATTATTCCCCACTGCTCCAAATTAATGCTTTGACAGTTCAACTTTATATGACATCAAGAACCCTCAAGAGATGGAAAGAGCCTGAAAATTCTAGTTCATCCTGTTACTTGAACATAGCAGCCCACTCGATCCTGACCCAAACAATACCTCAGCTTTCTCAGAATGCTTCAGTGATACAAAGCGCACCACTTTAATATATGACTTCAATTCCACTGTTGGAAAGCCTCAAAAATCATCTCTTATTCTAAGCCTCCTACAAACTCCAAAATCACTTTGGCATCATACAGAATAAAAATATCCTTAGCAGTTTACAAAGCTCACTTTACCTCCATTATCTCAATAACTTTTTATCCCCTATAAAGCAGACAGGCCTACATTATCCTTTAAAAATAATAAAAATAAGATTCAAAGAAGTGGGGGTGTCAAGATATGAAAAGCGAATTGATGAATCAAAATTTCATACTTTTTTTTAATTGACCTAAGATGTGAGCGAATGAGAGACTAACCAAATTTGAGCATACTGTTCAATAAAGTCAGCCCACCAAGTACGACAGTTTTAGAGTATACAAAAATGCTTGCATGGATGTCCAACTTGGGGTGTGTGGGCCACATGCTGATTTTGTGAGGATTTTTTTTTTTTGCTTATTGCTGGTGCTGGATATCATAAAAAGTATGTAGACTTTTTTTGCTAATCAGCTTTCTTTCTTTCTTTTCTTTTTTTTTTTTGAGACAGAGCTTCAAGCTGTCCTCTTGGGTACAGTGCCGTAGTATCACAGCTCACAGCAACCTCCAACTCCTGGGCTCAAGCGAGTCTCCTGCCTCAGCCTCCCAAGTAGCTGGGACCACAGGTGCCTGCCACAACGCCTGGCTATTTTTTGGTTGCAGCCGTCATTGCTATTTGGTGGGCCTGGGCTGGATTCGAACCCACCACCTTAGGTGTATGTGGCTGGCACCTTAGCCACTTGAGCCACAGGCACTGAGCACTAATCAGCTTTCATCACTGTGCTATTTTTGTATTTAAAGTGTGGCCCAAGACACTCTTATTATTCCAAATGAGTGGGGGGTGGGGAAGAGTTGGAAACCTCTGAGAAAAGTCTTTGTAATACAAACCTAGCCTTTGTGAATTAGAAGTCACTTACATTCCTAAGTGACATTATGTGAGGTACTGTTTTTTTAAATTAAAAATCATAAATGGGAAACCTGCTGCAATATGCCAAATTTTCAGCCATGAAGCCAAATGAAAGCAGTACCACCCACCTGGTGGCAGCATACCCTAATTATAGACAGAATACCTGTAGAGGAAAAAAAAACTGCTCCGAAAACTCCAATTAAAAATGTTAGAAAATTCTGGTTTAGAAACACAGCTGCTACTCATATACCCTCTTCTAACTGGATTGGTCATCCTGTCTAAATAAATGTCTTTTGACTAAAATAAATGGAATGACACAGAAGAAAACAGACGCCGGTAATAGCTTGTCGAACCAGTTCATCATACCCTGAGCTCTGAAGGGGACTGGATGTGCCAACAGGAACATACACATCCACATTCCAGTTGAATAAGCATCACAATTGTCTAGTGGAAAGAATACTATGCTAGAGCTGGGTGCCTGGATTCCAGCTCTAGCTTATAAGACCACATGACTGAATCAAAGAGATTTTTTTTGTTCTTTTCATCCATCTATAAAATAGATGAAAAAAATTTCTGTATTGAAAAGGGAAATCATAAGTGTATATTAAGTACTTATGAGTGTGTATGTACGTATATAATAATATACACATAAACACATTTACATTTATGTGTCATACATATGAAAAGAAAGGTATTTTTAATTCAATAACATAAAACATTTTTAAAAACTAGGCCTTTGGGCGGCACTTTTGGCTCAGTGAGTAGGGCGCCAGCCCCATATACCGAGGGTGGTGGATTCAAACCTGGCCTTGGCCGAATTGCAACCAAAAAATTAGCCGGGCGCTGTGGCAGGTGCCTTTAGTCCTAGCTACTCGGGAGGCTGAGGTAAGAGAATCACTTAAGCTCAAGAGTTGGAGGTTGCTATGAGCTGTATGACGTCACCACACTCTACCAAGGGCAACAAAGTGAAACTCTGCCTCAAAAAAAAAAAAAAAAAAACTAGGCTGTTAAAAGATTTTATATGTTGAAAACTAATCCTCTTAACTCAAATGAAACTCACACCTAATTTATCAAAGATTCTGCTATGCTGAAATTACAAATGCTAAGTTGTTATTTTTTTTAAAGGTATCTAAAAGCTAATACTGGTTTAATCTAAAAGTCATTCAAATTATATATGGAGTCTGTAAGTTTTTAAAACCCTCTACAATTTTCTTAATAGGATATTATGACTATCATTTGAATTAATGCACTCAGGACAGATGGAGAAAAATACACTCTCCTCCATACACCTAGAGTGGCATATGAGCACTCACATTATGACCGTTCACCAACTGATAACCTTTATTCTCTGTTAAACTTATGTAACTGTTACTGTATCCTTGAGCTTTATACATTTTTTCCCTACTATCAACATTCTAAACTTTGTTCTATCATAAGACAAATAACATTTTCACAGAAGTCTGTTTTCTTCTTTCCTAACTTATCTCTTGCTTCTTGCAATTCTCCTTCGTCATCTGTGGCATGAAACTAACCAGGGTCTAGGCAGCTGCTCTCTGCTCCTTTGCTGCCTCACCTCCTGCTTGCTCCTTTGGTTTTATATTTATTTATTTATTTGTTTGTTTATTATTGAAAATTAGGCTGATTTCATTTATTGATTTTATTTTAGGTTAATGTGAGAATACAAACAACCAAGTCACAATATCTGAATCTCTTAAAGTCCCTCTTGTAGTTGTGTCCGGCCCCCAGAAGGTGTGCCATATACCCCCACATTGTGCCCATTAAGTGGGAGCCCACTAATTCTCCCTCCCCTCTCTTCCCTCCCTTATTCCCCTTCTCCCCAACTTGAACTGAATTGAGTTTTTCTCTTGTGTGGGTGCATATTAGTTTGCCTATTCGCTTCACATTAGTATTGAGTACACTGGATACTTGCTTTTCCACTCTTATGATACTTTACTCAGAAGAATGTATTTCAACTCCATCCAGGTTAATGCAAAAGATGTCAAGTCACCATCTTTTTGTATGGCTGAATAGTATTCCATGGTATATCCTCTGTTTTTAAACTCTCATTTTTCACCTATGCTAAGGACTTCTACATCTCACACGTAATACTGATCATTCCACACATTTAAATGCCTACTATCAATTTTGAAAGTTTATAACTTCCAAGTCGCTGTATCTAAAATTTTGTCTAACAGTGTCTAACAGTCTGAAGTAACCACACCATTGCCACTATGATAAAACTGAGAGCTATGAGACCACCTTGTCTTGTTATTTCCCATGTGCAGTGAGTAACTGAATCTTAGAGGATTTTTTTTTTTTTTTTTTTTTTTT